TTTTTCATTCCCCTCGAGTTCCTTTCATAAACAAAATTCAAATAAGTAAAAATCATTACAATGGGGACTATATTTTTTTTTTTTCAGAAAAGAATGGAGTTACATTTGAGTATGAGAACAAAGTTTGTTTTCACAGCTGCAGGCATGTTCGATTTGGATTACCAACTTATACGTGGGGTACGCACTTAACCAATAACTATAAATTGTATAATCTACGCTTGTGTGTTTGAATATATATATATAGATATTTTGAGGTCCCCTGAGTCAAAATAACCAAGTCCCGCTGAGCCCAACCCTGAGCATTTGTGTCGAATCTGGCCTTATACCACTGCACTTTAGAAGACAGAAACTTGCAATAAACTATATTACTAAATTATACCCGCAAACTTCACACCCCTCCCATAAATATGTTTTTCAATCTAAATTCTCAAAAAGATTTAAAGAAAAAAGGAATACCACATTACCATTGGCAGAAAGAATGTCTCTTATTATAAATAAACTAAAACAAATAACATTACATGAAATAGAAAAAGAAACAGCCCCTTGGACCTATATACAACCTAAATTAAATCTCCAACTCACCCAATTCACCAAAGATACTACATTACCTGCAGATTACAAAGAAAAATTCCAAAAAATAATCATCACGTTACCTGAACATCTTCTAATATTCACCGACGGATCCAAATCAGGTACATCTACTGCTTCAGCCTTTGTCACTCCTGATACTACCTACAAATATAAATTACACCATCTTTGTAGTGTTTACACAGCAGAGATTAACGCCGTAGCAATGAGTCTCCGATACGTCATGAAGAAGCCAGTTGCAAATGTGGTTGTTGTATCGGATTCCCTAAGTACCCTGAAAGCTATGAATAACATGTATCCAGACCATCCAGGGATACACTGCATTCTAAGTCTTATAAAAATGCTTCATGGAGTTGGAACAACGGCACATTTTATCTGGTCGCCTGGCCATATAGGAATTAAAGGAAATGAAATGGCTGATAGAGCAGCAAAGGAAGCTCTTACTCTTCCAGGCCGCGGTAAAGTTTTTTTGACACCATCTGAACTTGCACGACCTCTGAGAGAAACCATAATCCAAGAATGGCAAAGACGGTGGGACATCAGCGCACCTAGCAAATTAAAAACAATAAAGAAAGAGGTGCAACCGTGGACCAGCTCCAGACGCAGCAGTCGTAGAGAAGAGGTCGTCCTCACGCGGCTGAGGATCGGACATACTAGACTGACTCACCTCCACCTCATAACAAAAGATTCTATCCCCCGATGTCAAAAGTGTAACCAATCACTAACTGTAAAACATATTTTGGAAGAATGCCCTTTTTACACCGCAAGATTAAAAGATTTTGGAATACCCCAGAATATATCAGCATCCCTGGGAAATCAAGAAGAAATGGTTACCAAAGTCATCAAGTTTATGGATAGTGAAAGACTTAAAAAACACATTTGACAGGCTTTTATTTATTTATTTATTTTTATTATTTTTTTTTAAATTTATTTATTTAATTTTATTTATTTTTTTTATTTATTTATTTATTTTATTGATTCTACTGCTATTTTTTAAAGTTTATTTTTTTATACATTTTTTATACATCTTATTACCTATAAATGTCTATTATTATCCTTATTTATTTATTTTATTCTATCAATCCATTTCTTTATTTATTTTATTTTATTTTATTTATTTATTTATTTTTTTATTTATTTTATTTTATTTTTTTGTACCAATCATCCAAATAGTATTAAATGATGTTATTTAGTTGATCGGGCGCTTATGACCTGGTTGTTTTGCGCCTAGACATCGAAACAAACAAACAAACCAAGTCCCGCAAAATGGTCTCTGTGTGTGTGTGTGTGTCTGTTTGTGTATTTAGGATAGGTATTTTTCTGTAATGTTATAGCAGCTTTCTCCTTAAAATCGACTAATCGGAAGAGCCACGTTATACCAACGGTTATAAACATTTATACAATTTTCTTAGAAACGGCTCTAACGATTTTGATTAAACTCTGTGTATCATTGTATACTTTAATGGTCTTTAACATCATTTAAGTCTGATACCCATTGATGTTTACAGGATTTAAATGTTCAATGTTCAAAATGTCTTCCTCTAAAGTACTTTTAATTTGGTTTATTTTAATTAATTACTACCTCTCATTGTTAAGAGTTACGAAAAAATGCTAAATATAACTTTTGAAAAAATTTGATAAATGGGAAATTGAGAAATGTTTATTTAGGTCGAAATTGAATTTCCGAAAATACTAGTCAGGAGGTATAGTTTAATATATTGTTGGAAAACGGAGAAGTTTCGAAAAAACAATATCTAATATAAAAAGTTGTAAAAGATAATAGAGAGTGAAGAGAAATTATAATTAATAATTTTTGAAAACTAATATTATTTAACGGAAATCATATGTCTTGAAGGAAATTAAATGAAATTTACTTTAAATTGTAATGTAAACTTTTTAATTATTTTTGAAGTTTGAAAAAAAGTATTGAAAATGTGAAGGAAGACGTGAAATATAAAAACATTGCATGGATGCAGAAAGCACATGTTTATAACTTTAAATTCATTTACTGTAATTTAATAATTCTAGATGTGATAATGAAAATTAAATTAGTGAATAACTTGATGAATTTTCCTTTTGTTAAATTCCAATATTATCCACTTAAAATTAGTGTGGCAACTTCTGACCTATTTATAGCAGACAATGAAAATCTCATAATTCCATTTTAGTAAACTTTACAATATAAAATAACAATTTAATAACTAATTAGCATGCAGTCTATAATCATTTATAGGTTGAATATACAAATATACTTTCAAATCTCTCTTGACCTCTGCGGCGCCTGAAAAGAAGATGGCCTCGTGATCTCCTTATATTGACATTTTATTAGAGTGCTACGAGTGGGGAGTTTCTTTATAAGCGTTTTCATGTGGTTATATTCCTGTGAATACATTTACTTGATGTATTTATATTGTAATACATCTATAAATATCTTGAAAAAATAGTTTTAAAAAATCTCTCTAGGCATATATATAGCTTAGACACTGGAGTTGTGTGGTTCACAAAAACAGATGAAGTAACGAGGTTTTTATTGTGTACCGTTGATTAGTTCGTTTTTTGTTATTTTATTGGTTTTAATGATTTGTTAGCTGTAAGATTTAAATTTTAGCTCCGTTAAAAATGCACTTCAAAAATTTTATAATAGTCCAACATTGCCTGAAAATAATTTCAAATTGGAATAATTTCTATTCAAAGTAGAGCGGTAAGTGAAAGTTGTGTGTTTTGTGCACCAAATTTTTTAAATTAGTATAAAATAATTGACTCTGAACATTTTCTTCCAGATGATAACAACAGCCGCTACTTACATCGTCGTATTGCTTCAATTCACACCTGATAAGAAAGAGTTGAAGTCAAAACTAAACACTTCATGAAAAAATGACTTATATCACGGCATAATTCATACTATTGTGTAAATTTTTAAAATAAAAAATATACTTGATATAATCATTTTTTTTTTTTTTTTGAGCTTTGTTTTTGTTTTTTGTCCATATCTGCTTTTTTAGGTGAAAATTTTCTAATATTATAAAATAAGGCTCAGTTTATTTTTTCAACAAATACCAAGCAAACTTCAATTGGTAAAAATAAGGGTTAAGAATTAGAAATGTTCCAATTCGTCGAGAATAGGAAACTGGAGCCTCACCCACGGATCTCTCATGACAAAAGAGCTTTGTATTTGTTTTTTGTCCATATGTACTTCTTTTAGGTGAAAATTTTCTAATATTATAAAATAAGGCTCAGTTTATTTTTTTACCATATTTATTTTTCTAGCTACGTTTCGGCCGGTAAGCCATTGTATCCAACTATGTTTATTGCATGTAGTCCAAAGTTTAATTGTCAATTAGACTTGATCAATTAGACAACATGGCTTACCGGCCGAAACGTAGCTATGAAAATTAAAATAAATATGGTGAAAAAATAAACTGAGCCTTATTTCATATTTGTTTTTGTATCATATTTAACACAAAAAATGATTCCAACATCTTATTAAGAAAAAAATCTTTTTTTATTTAGTTATAGGTATGTAACGTAATACAATATTTATTTCTGGTTGGTTACAACCTACCTCCTTCCGCCCCATCCCTTCCTTTTTTTAATGTGTACTTATTCAAATTAATAAGAAAAAAAAAATCTGAATTTGCTTCAAGGTATCAAACAGCACACGCATTTGCTCCTAGTATATATCACAATACAAACTATAGAAGATACTGCCAAACTCTTTGGGATAAACAAATACCAAACAAACTTCAATTGGTAAAAACAAGATTTATGAATTAAAAATGTTCCAGTTCGTCAAGAATAGGAAACTGGAGCCTCACCCACGGATCACCCATGACTCATAAAGAGCTAGCTACAAAATACCGAACAGCACTATCAGTGAGGCACATAAGTACACGAGCAGAAAAATGGCCAATTCAGACATTCTTTCGCCGATGTATACATTAATCTTCATGTCTGTATATATTATTCCGACATCTTTGGAAACGCGATCGATGAAGAAGATCTAATGAGCCGTGACCACCTCTGCGGAGCGAGGCAGTAGCAGAATGACACTAGCTGCGAATAGTTTCCGCCGAAGAAGGACATTCCTCCGGTCTCTACGAACTGCTCTCAATATGGCAGCGGTTTTAGCCGTCGTGCCGTACTCCTTGCGGGGACACAACGTCGTCTTCGGCTCATGGAAAATGCCCCTCAACGTCTTCAGCACATTCATCCTACCCTTCCTCGGCTCCTGCGCACTGATATTGCCAAATCCATTCGTGAACAGATCTATCTTTTCCTTGTTCATATTCACGATTCAGTTAATGCCCTACTGTTCCTCAGTTCTTGCCTTTCTTTTTTGCAATATTTTCTATCGTGGTGACATTGCGAGTGCTATCTCGCAGATAGTAAAAATAGAGAGAATCTTGTTTATAATGAATGCCGAGCCGAAAATACACATCAGCATTTTGAAAGAGGCTGTGATGCCAGTCCTTGTGGTTGTATGCTCAGTAGGTTAGAAATTCAAAGTTCAAAATAAAAAAAATGCAATTGTTGACAGTTTTAAAAGTTATTGAAGGTTCCATCACACTATCCTACAATGAAATGGCAAAGCTCATTATCATTTATCTGTGGAGAAAAGCCCAAAGTATCTTGAATCTAACTGAGATCATTTTGTAACTAATTCCATTTTTCTGTTCGGTGTTAATAATATTCCTCTCAGTAACTTGTCTCTGAGTCATAGTGTGGATGAACCGGTTCAATACTTAATACTCAGTAATCAATGCTAAACATATATAACTAACATGGAAGACTATTTTTCCAAATAGTTTACATAACTACAGTGCATGAGTGTTATTCTATTTAAACTTAGCCTCGATTGGGTTTTACAAGAGTGGTAGGACAGAGATTTCCTAATCCTTTATTCTTATTGATAGAAGAGAATGGTGCTGGGTTAAGTCTAAATCACGAATAAGAGGAGGAAACAGAGTTTAATAATCTTCATTATTTTCTTAATTATCATTTTATTTATTTTCTAAAAGACAATTCATTTTTATTAAAACTATTCTGTAATAGAAAGGTCAAGTAGAAAAAGAGATTATATGATAAAGAGGATTATTAAATTTTTAGAAAACTTTTATTCATTTATTTATTGAAATTAATGCAACAAAGAAATAAAAAAAAAATGATGAAAAAATAATTTCAAATTAGCTTTATTCTACTACACAAGGCTAATCTTTGTCATTCAAGTTACAGATCCAGTATTGAATTTGTCTTAATGTAAAGAAAACATACGGGTCATATATCACTTTACGCTTTTATTATTAGTAGCAATAATCCAATTTTTTCTAAAAACGCTCTTACCTTCTTCATCCAATTGCTCCTTCAAACATAAGAGTAGTATTATTTCATTCCCGCACGTAAGAGGCTGTATAATTTATTTCTCAAGATTTGGAATGACTATATACTACTAAACTATTTCAAGTTTTCGCAATAGTAAAATATTTACTTATATTAATACAAAAGAGTAAAAACAAATCAAGAGACAGAAAATAGATCCAGTTTTAGTTGCAAAATTCAATCGCAAAGCCTTGTGTCTCTAAAAAAGAACAAGATGACGTAACTTCATGACATTCAAACACATACTGAATATGTGTTAAGGTGTGCTTAGAAATTTCACTAGTCTTTTTTGTTTCTAGATTTTTTGATTCCTGCCTGTAACAGGAGAAATAAAGAAAAAGTTTGGCCCCCATAGTTTGTGTTCCCATAGTTCATGAGACGTCTAAACGCACCTTGAGAGTACATTTTTGGATGTAATAAAGTAATACTTTTTTTGTTGTTGTTTTTTTCCCTCTCCAATGATGTATGGATAAGCGAAATGTTGTCGGGTTAATTTGTTTTTTATCAACATTTTAGAGACACTTGACTTTTTGGTTGGATTTTTTCAATTATAATTTAATATTCACTTATATTTCTATAGTGTTATTTTAGTATCAGACACAAATTATTGTTCTCTGTCTCTTCGTTCGTTTATTTCTATTCTCTCTTATATGTTCTAGTGCACTTGCTAAACGATGGAATATTAAACATAGCAGCACTGGCGATGTTCATGACTTACGAATACGCAAATTTCCGCTTATTCATCATAGAGAACTTGATCATATTTTTCCTGAACGTCATCCAGTACTACCAGAGCTTATTGGTGGAGCTGATCACTCCGAGAGAGGCCGTGCTAGTCAAACTATGCAACATCCAGGACAGGCTAGCTGATGTCAATTCTAGGATTCAGAAGGTCTACGGATTCCCGCTTCTTTGTATGGTCCTAAGCGATTTCTGTTTCATCAATGTCAACATGTTCTTCGTGGTTAAAAGAATAAAGGATCCGGGTGTGCTGATCGTGATCAGCTGGGTCACTATTGTTTTCCTTATGATCTTCAGGATAGCCATTGTATGTGAACGAATGAAGGAAAAGGTAAGTATCCTTAATTCAATTGTATAAGACAGTAAAAATACTATATGTTAATAATCACTCATGGGAGAGATGCAGAAGTTGTATTCAAGGGGGCGCTAACTAAAACAAAAAATCTTTTAAAGGCTTTCTATTTGATTAATTTTTCACGTGAAGTTTCTTCACTGGGAGGTTTCTCCGATCAAGTTAATCTTGGAGGAGAAGTTCGCTGATGAAGATCATATTTACAATATATGACAAAAGGCATTCGTTACAGGAGCGAGAAACTCCCCTTGGTCGATGGTGCACGAACTTCCTCCCCTCCAAGAAAAAACATTGCTTTTCCTCTTTTAAAAATATGCAAGCGAATGTAGAATTAGAAAAATCGTAGACCATATAAAATTAGACCTTTTTTTTTTTCTATCCCTTCCACGCCTTTTAAGCTTTACGTTAGGTATTTCCTGGGACAATAAAATTACACAATATAATAAAAATTTATGTTTTCCCTTGACTTCTGGTTTGAAACTCCTTATTCCGAAAATTCAAAATCCTGTCGAAATTTCCCTCTCAATAATTCAAAATGTGCCCCTCTCTGCACCTCTAATTTGTAAAATATTTAAAATATATATATATATATATATATATATATATATATATATATATATATATATTATTTATTTTACGAATTCACTAATTATTAGCATGTTATATCGGTTTATTTTATTTTGGTACTTCAACTTGTTAGTTAATTTCCTAATATTTCACAGTTAAGGATAATAAAATAGTTGTGGGTCCTCTATGAACCGATAAAAAAAAGAAATTTTCTCACTTAAACCAATCATTGAATAAAAAAACAAAATAATACTGCAGTTTAAAATATACATATTATCACCAATACTTTATAAATAAATTATCATTCAGGTAATAAAAAAAAGGTAGTGTAAAATACTTAAATACTGAGGTAGTGTAATAAAAAAAAATGACTCAGATGGTTAGGAATCGATCGTTATACAGGCATCGATGAAATAAATTAGTTACCTGGTCTGTGCCTTGTACAATCGATTTTAAATAAGTCTAAATATGAAATAGTAACGATGATCGATTAATTACAATTACTCTAAGCCAACAGAAATCCTATTTCAATACTAATTCTACTGGCATAATATATCTTTGTAATTTCTAGTGTGTATTAATAATACAGGGGGAAGAATTCTACTCGGTTCTCTATAGGGTTGTGAAAAAAGAGAAAACCTGCAAACTTCTTAATAACGTAAGTAATGGATAATAAATATTAATTAAAATACACATATTCCATTAAACTATCAAAGATTAATAGTAACTAGCTCCTTGACAATAATTAAGGATGTTAATTAATCATGCACACAGAACCATGCCTTTATTTTATAGAACGTACATGTAAATAAACTTGACATAAATAAATATTTATGTATTCTAATATAGATATTTATTTAATCTAAAATCACTAGTTTGCAAAAGGTCGTATGTGAAAACTGAATTTTTTTACAGAAGAGCATAAAAATAATAAACCGTAAAAACCAATTATTTCTTTTATATTTATAAGTATGATTTCATATTTTATTTCTCTATGTCATTTTCATATTTAAATTAAGGTATGTAAAAAAAATACACTACCATTTGCACTATCAGTAGCAAACAAAAAATTGATTTATAATTTTCAGAGTTATTTGAGAGCCCACTTATTAAAGAAAAAAACGTTTTCCTTCAATCTTGCTGGTTTTGTCGAAGTGGATATGAATCTCGTTGCAGGGGTAAGAGTAATATAGTAAAATTTATTAGGATCAATAAAATATATTACTTCGAATCAAATTAGGTTTATATAATACGGTATATATATATATATATATATATATATATATATATATATATAATATTGGAATAGAGTTCGTGTTAATCTTTTTCAGGTAATCTCTGCCACGGCTACATATACGATCATTCTTATACAGATGGGAAAGGACTTCTGAATTTTCATCTATAACTTTTTAATTACGAAATAAAAATTTGTACATATATGATACTGAATAAAGAACAGCTCTGAAATATAATACATAAATTGCTAATAAAATAATTTATATTTTTAAATAATTTATTGTTATTGTTATTTAAGGTTATTAGAATAAAATATTTATTCAAAACAATTTAAAATGTGATTTTTTATTTGTGATGTGTCTGAAAATATTTTACAAAGTACTTTGGTCTTAAGTGCATCTCCATGTCTATAAGAAATAATACCACTTATCCTATTATCAACTGTAGTTGAGAATTCAAATTATCCCGTAAATGATTAGAATTTCTTGTTGTTCTTTTAAGTGTAAACCAATAAAAAATGATAAATTTAGATAATATCTGATTGCAACACCGTAAACTATACAAAATTTTACTCAAAAATTTCAGACAACTGTTGGACCAAGAATAACCAACTTTATCGAAAAACTATATTTGATAGGTTGATATTAATTAAATTTATTTTTGTAAAATATAAGCTGAGACTTTCCTAAAGGTTTAAAAAAAAAACAATATGTTAAATATCATTTTAGGTGATAATTTTTAAATAATAATTTTATGTAAGTGATATTTTTTTTACACATTTGACAAATGATTAATGCATTTAATTAATTAATTTATTGTAGTACATCCCAAGTCGCATTGAAAAGAAAGAAAATATATACTGAGAAAACTGGCAGCAAGAATTCACGAGATTTTTTTAACAAACAGATGCGAAGCTAGACTTAATGTGTATAAAATAATAATTATAATTTAATTAAATTATAAATAAATTAATAATGACTTATAGCCTATGAAACCAGAACGTTATTCTAATTGTGAGAAATTTCTTGTTAATTTAATCATTAGTAAACTGATAAAACTAAATTATGAATAATCCTTGATTCTTTGCATTTTTCTGAAATAAAAATAATTAGAATTTACTTTAAATTTGTTCTTACTATGCTCACATTAGCTATTATCAAGATTAAGTAGTTATTTTATCGCTTACAGTTATAGTTACACCGCTTCCTGTTCAATAAAAAAAACGTTATTCTATAAGTTTATGTAAATATATGTATTTTTTTTTTTTGTATGGAATCGAGTCATGTTCTGGACAACTTTTCTATAACAATCTGTAAATCTACGATGTTTTTGATGAACGTTTCCCATTAATTTAGTAAATCTCTGTATATCTATTATTATCAAATACTAAGAATTTCCTTTTCCTGGCATTTTTTTAATTTACTGTGCAATAAAACATCCTGTCACAATAAGTACAATGATTATAGTAAGGAAAGAGTACATTCATGCCATATTTACAGAAAATATAAAACTAATAAAATAAATAAAACAAAACAGATAGAAACTGACGAAATATGAAAATAGCTATATATGCTAAGTACATATATACACTGTCTTGGCGATTAATAGTGTGTTTCTGATTAATACCTCACTCAACTCAGCTAAAAATAATTAAATAACTGATTAGTGTTACTTCTTGATCTTAGAGATGGTTTTCATGAAATGACTCGATGAGAGCAGGTGTTGATCTTCCGCTGGCGAACGAGGCACAAGAGGGCTCAAAGCCTTAGTTAACTCTGGGAGTGCGAATAATGCGAAGCATACGCTACAAACGTGCAGGTTCCATTGTCAGCAAAGGAGACTGATCTGCGTTCTCTACAACTGAGGTGCAAAGAAAGTTTTACGGAAGTCTGGAGGACCTTAGAAGGGCTACTGAATTCTTCATTATAGTTCCTGATTATCTATTTAAGAGAAGAACGCAGAAGAAGAAGAAGTGTTACATATACTTTTCGCCAGTTAAAATGAGCATTGCGCAAGACTTATTGAATACTATGTATTTGACATCCAGTGTTGCAAGTACCTATACGTTAGAATCAATAAGACTAATGAGCCGCAACCACCCTGACCAGGCGAGGCAGTCGTAGGATGCCACTGGCTGCGAAGAGTTTCCGCCGACAGAGGACATTCCTCCGGTCCCTCCGGACTGCCCTCAACATGGCCGCGACGTTGGGTGTCGTGCCGTACTCCTTGCGAGGGCACGACGTAGTCTTCGGTACATGGAGGTTGCCCTACCACATCTTGTGCACCTTCATCTTACCCTTCCTCGGCTGCTGCACAATAATTCTTCCAAATCGTATACTCGCACAGTCTTTTTTTTTCAAATTCTTTCTCTTGATTCAGTATGTTCCCTTTTCCCTCTCATTGATAGGCATATTGATCTGTTACATTGCCTACCGCGATAATTTCGGAATTGCTACCTTGCAATTACTCAAAATAGAGAGAATGTTTTTTCTCTTGAATGTGGAGCCGAAAAAACGCAATAGCTGTTTGCGTGATGCAGTTTTGTTACTTCTGGTGGTGTGTTCCTCAGTAGGTTAGAATGATCTAAAACATATTTATTTATTCTATATAAAAATTCAGTACGATTCAACACTAAAACTTGACTGGACAGGATAAGTTTCTTATTTTATGAACTTGGCTGGCTTATAAACCATCATTGTATATGAAAATTGGTCGTATTTACAGCAATACATATAAATCTAAAGTATTGATTAGTTTCGAAGATTTGGAAGTCTTCAAATAATTCTTTTTCACAGTAAGGTATTTTAGAAACAATATTTTTTTATTAAATAACTTATTAATTAGATATGGAGCATGTATACTGATAAGACAATTAGAATATATTTTGTTCAAAAATAATAATGAAAATAACTCATTAAATTAAATTAACAGAATTTAATTAGAAACAGCCAATCGCTTTGTCTCAAATTTTGTTTGAAAAAAAAAAAACATGATCACATACATATATGCCATAGGTGAGTAATCTTTTTTTCATTAGAGGCCGGTAAGGTTAGAGGTCGCAATAATTCTTGATACTTTACTGTTACTATTTTCATTTATCACTAAATACTCACACCCATATATTTAACTTAACTCTATTAATTGTTATTACTTATTTAAATAATTATTAATTATAGCGCATAATTAATAAATATCGTGCAAAATCGTTTGGAGGCTGCAGCTACATCAAGGAGGACGCATGTATACGCAAACCAATCTCACATAAAAAAGTTCGAAAATGAGACTCATCTTCTAAATAATCGTACATATCACTCATAGTCATCAAAATTGAAAAAAAAAACGTTATTTAAAAAAATGTTAACCTATAAGTATGTTTGTTGAATTTGGTTCCTTTTTTTTATGGAAGTTGATAAATGAAGTACATGTGAATGAAAAACATAACAAATTTTGGCTTCAATGTGTTCATTTCACCTATGAATCCTTTATTTAAATGGAATGACTAACATAAGTGAGTATTTTCGATTAATTTGTAAGTGTTTTAGCAACGGTGCATATTTTTATGTAGTTGTTATCATGTTTCGTAAGATATTTCACTTCCAATTTTTATCAGTTTTATTTGTGACGCTTTGTTCATAAGGACTTTTTATTGAGGGATTAATTAAATATTTTTAAATAATTCTAAAATCCGAATACTTATTTGGAGACATCCGGTATAATCAAATAATGTGGAAGTCTAGTTTTCAAATGTTGTAAGACTCAAAATGTTTCAATTCGATGGTAAAGACAGCTCTAATAATAATAATAATGTATATATACTTTCTTAGTTCTGAAAATAGACTTCATGTTGACTTTATTCCTACTGTGTTTATAAATATTTCACATGTAAATGTTTCCTTGTGTTCTAGGGCATTTGATTTTGGTGAGACACAGTTCATTGTCAACAATGATGATGTTCGTGTCCTTCCAATACGTCAACTTCTACTTCTTCGCTGAAGAAAACCTGATCCTGTTCTTCCTGGGCTATATCCATCATTACTTGGACCTGTTGGTCCGCCGAACTTCATCCAGGGAAGCAGTGTTGATCCAGCTCTGCAGCATTCACGATAGACTAGCTGACGTCATCGCCGGCATTCAGCAGCTATATGGACTTACAGCTTTATTCATTGCTATCAGCAGTTTCTGCTTCATCAATTGCAATTTTTTCTTCTTAATGAAAAAGCCGAATAAACCAGCAGCCCTGGTATGCTTTGGTTGGATCATCCATTCCTTCATTCTGATCTACCGGATTTCAAATAGATGCAAACAAATAAAGGAAAAAGTAAATATCCATAATTTTAGCATTTATGTTTAGATTAACTGACGAGTAACTGAATGAAACATAATTAATTACTTGGACTTTAATAATAATTGATATTATGAATAATATTGATCATGACTGTATGACTTAAAATATCATCAAAAATCTGGGGGAAAAATCTCCAGCTAGTCATTTGTCTCAATCTAATATAAGATATTTATAACAAAAGTGTTAAATTTGGTGCCGGGACAGCCGAGCGGGCTTAGGTGCTTGCAGTAGGTAATCAAACTTAAGAAACTCCGAGCTTGGTAAGCAGAGTTGGATGGGTGACCGCCTGAATTTGGTTACCCTCCACCAGGGATAGCCAAGTTGCCTGAGATTCCCCCTGGTGTATGTGAAGCCCGACAGCCTCTTGGAGGCAACACACAACTGCCGGGCGTAGGACTGATGACCCTACTCCAAGTACTTAAAACGGAAATTGAAATGTGATTTTCCAGGATGTCAGTAGCCTTTCTGAGGTTTGATCCATGGGCAGTCTGTTTTAAGGAAAGAAACACAGGCATCCGTCGTGCTGTCTCGGAACAACTATTACACTTGGATCAACCGATTTGCTACTTTGGCTGAACCCGAGTGAGCCCGTGGAAAGGAAACTGCGGGAGCTATGGGAGACCTGGGCTGCCAGTGCATCACTAGCGGATCCAGGATTTAATTCTGGAGGGAGGCTTCAGCCCGAAAGATTTTTTTTTCATATACATATAACGATAATTAATTTGAAAAAAATAAAGAAATTAACTACCTATATGAAATGGTGTTTAAGTGGTTCTTTAAGTCCTATTAAATATAATTACACGAACAAGAATACTTTAACAGATAGTTTTTAATATTTTTTTCTGTAAAACATGGTTTTATTTTACCATTTTGGGGGGGAGGCTTCAGCCAGAAAGCCCCCTCCCTCGTAGATCTGCCTGTGCAGTGCATCATGGAGACCATGGTCCATAGCAAAATGAGGTTGGGGTTGGCTCCCTCCAGAATATCTTTGCCCCCACAAGCAATATACGTCAGCAGGAAGATCGCGTCTCGCTACCGAAGATCTAGATAGTCTATACAGCCAACCAAAATTAAAAATAAAAATAATTTTGCTTAAATTTTATATTTGCTTGTCTTTAATTGCAAGAGATTTATAAACTACGTTTAATTTTTTGAACCATAAACCTTTTTTTATCTCACGAAATGGTATGAATTATTGAATAATCTTTCGTAAATATTATTATGAGCATTAGTTTTTTTATACTATTACGGCATTCAAAAAAAATAAATAAATCGAAGGGCTTCTAGGCCAAGAAATTTGTAAATGTAAATACACTCCGGATTGAGGCAATTATTGAAAATAAGACTGTGATTCATACGCACTTATCGATTTTTATTTTAATATTACAGGCAGAAAAATTTTACTCGGTGCTTTATGCAATTATGAAAAAAGACAAAAGTCGAAAACTTCTTGATAATGTAAGTACGATTTTTGTAATTCTAATAATAATGGGTATGCCACACCGGGCTTCTTTCCAAGCTGAAAACCCATCCTCCGCAGTTCTTATACCTGATCCTCCGATAATACCTCTCTGATCGCACCTTTCGAGTTCGTTGTGGTACAGAATTTTCCAATTCCTACCCAGTTGAAGCCGGTGTTCCTCAAGGTAGCGTCTTGGGCCCGTCCTTTATATCCTTTTTACTGCTGACATCCCTGTCCATCCCAATATCTTCCTGGCAACATTTGCTGATGACACCGCCATCCTATTATCCAACTCAGATCCCGTAATAGCATCTTTGAATCTGCAAAGGCACCTCTTCCTGATTGAGCACTGGTGTAATAAATGGCGCATCAAAGTAAACGAATCCAAATCTAAATACATTACATTCACACTCCGGGGCAGTTCTTGTGCATCAGTCCAATTTAATTCCATCCATCTTTCTTCTTCAGACACAGTTCGGTATCTTGGCTTTACCTTAAAAGACAAGAACTTAACCGGCGATACGGCCAATTATATAGACCACTGCCTAGAAAATCTCAACTTTCAATTGACAACAAATTACTGATCTGCAAGACAATCCTGAAACCTATTTGGACCTACGGACTTGAACTTTGGTGAACAGCAAAATTTTCTAGCACCAAACGCATCCAATCCTTTCAATCCAATCAATTTGAGCAAAATGAGGCCCCGGCACAATCCCTATCTAGTTCCACTCATCCCTACAACCCTCCTCGAAGGTTGAAGCGACAGTGACCCAGATATCTTTTATAGTATATGTCTTGGAGTTCTGGCAATGGCCAGATTCTCCACTCAAGACATGAGTGTATGTGGCTAAAGCGCTCTAGATCAAACTCCACTGGCTTTAGCACCAGTGACGCGGTTGAGAGAGTAGCGCAGGGATCTCTTAGAGTACTGCTTTTCCTTCTATAGTTGGAGGGAGAAGCCTGGCTTTGGATTCCCTACCTGATTGTATATAGGTATGACTGTGTTTTTAATTTACTTATCTTTAGTTTTTTTTTTTTTTATTTATTGTACATAGTTCTTTTTTCATATTATTTAGTTATTATTATACTATTGTTAATTTTGCATTTTATGTATATATGGTGTGAATGTTATCACTATAATTATTTCCACGAGACAGAATAAAATATATCTAAAAAAATAAATAAATAAATAATGAAAGATTTATTTTTAACAATACACAAAAAAGGTTTCCAAACAGTAATGTATGCATATTTAATTACCACGAAATATTCTAATGATTGGACGATTTTAATATTTCAATAGGGAAAATAATAATTTCAGAGTTATTTGAGAGCTCATTTATTGAAGAAAAGATTATTTTCTATCAATCTCGCAGGATTTAGAGAAGTCGACATGAAACTCGTAGCACGCGTAAGTAAAATTGATTTAAGATAATTTAATATTTATTTATGTAATGCTCAATAATATGATTATTTTTTTAGATGATTTTCGCAACCACTACTTACACTGTCATACTTCTTCAAATAGGAAAAAACTTTTAATCCAGAAGATACTCGAGTCCAGAATTTATTATAGTGCAAATGAAACAAATAAGATGAATTATATAGTTAGATATACAAGAAATGTATATAATGAACATAAATATATACCATTGAAGGAAGTTAGTCGACTACACTACATATCATAGAAGATCAATAATCAGAAAGCAGCCATTTTGATATTTTTTATTGTTGCTAACGTTTCAATCCAAGCATGCCCTGATGCACCACACATTTGTGTTGAAACGCCGGCAACATTAAAAAAATCTCAAAATGAATGCTTCCTGAGTATTTATCTCCTCCTTTTACCAGACTAAGTGAAGTGATACGAGGGTTATATGTTTGGGTCGTTCGTTAAAAGATGTATATCGCTCATTTTAATATATTCAATTATACATATATTGAAATGGACGTATAATCGTTCAGAAAGTATTCAAAATGATATTTGACTTTCTGCCTGGTAAATATAATCATAATTTTTAGTAGCAGATGTTCAAAGTAAACACAAACATATACAAATGGTCGTAAATAGGTGGCAGATTGTGATTCGGAAGGATAACTTCCTTGACCTAGATATCTAAATGATAGGGTTCTCGGAGGACCAAGGGTTAATCAACTCGAGAATAGGAACCTGATTGGGTAATCCTTTCCCCCTCCCTTCCACCCACAGTTAGTTGAGAGGATGGCAAGCAGTCACCCGGAATAGACCGAGCTCATTATAGTCTTATTAATTTGGCGGGAGTTGGCGTCAGCGAAGTGTCGGCTATCTGCGTCAGGGGCTATTTGGGATTCCCGCTATTTGGGAACATTTTCTGGCGGTAACATTCCTGACATTGATGACACTAGTGGAAGCTCGATTGGATTAGGCATGAGAGAGAAAATATTTTAGAAAAAAAATTACGTATACCTCTTGATTAGACGAATAAATATAATATATAAGTATTTTAGAGTAGTATTGATCAGCTGATGCGAAAGGACGTGTTTCTACATCGTCTCTCAGAATTTGCTTATTTTACAGTGAAATCATTGAGATTATTTATTCAAAACAAGTGAAGAGTACATAACAACAATTGATATTTATTGTTTGTTATAAATTATAGGGTTATTTTTATTTTATTTATTTTTTTTTTTCATTTTTTTTCCCTTATATGCGATATCACAATCAGGCCATGTCTAGTAGAGCTTCTATCAAGAGAATTCGGCCGTTAGGCTCAACACCTTGTTCTTCGCCTGTCAAACAAAAGCCTCGTCAATGTCGTCAAACACCTGCAGTAACGCCTATTAGCTCCAGAGAAAATGAAACCCAGGAACATCATCAAAACCAACAATTGAAGAACTTCAGCATCAACCAGGTACATCTTCACAAGAGATAACCGAACAATCTCCGTTTTTCACCCCTAACCCCTATCAGGTGCTCCAGAATGATAAAGAAGTGATGGAATCCGCTTCAATACCAAGAGATCCCCGACCTCCACCCATATTCCTTAAAAACATAAACAATTTTCAGTTACTATGCTCACAAATGAACAAAATAACAGGCTCTGGAAGCTATTCATGTCTAAGCAGAACAAAGGACACGAAGATATCACCAGATACAGCTGAAACCTACAGAAAAATTGTGAAGTATCTAACGGAAACCAACGCGGATTTTCATACGTACCAATTACGGCAAGATCGAGCTTTGAGGGTAGTCATAAGAAATCTACACCCCTCAACACCAACCGAAGCAATAGAAGAAGAATTGAAAACTTCAGGTTTCGTAGTGCGCCAGATTACAAATGTACAGAAGGAGAGTAAAGAACAGCCAGGAGTAAAAGTTCCTCTACCCTTATTTTTCGTAGATTTGGAGCCAAATCAAGGGATCGAAAAAATATACGAAATAGGAAGAATATACTACACAAGTGTTATAGTAGAGAAGCCATATCCTAAGAGGGAAATCGTACACTGTCACAATTGCCAGGCATATGGCCATACCAGGACTTACTGCCATCATCTGCCGCGG